GAAGTTCCCTCCCCTGTGTCATGTGCCACCCGCATCAAGGCCTAGGAGGAGCTTAAGGGAGCACCCCTTGGCTCTGTATACCCAGATACTGCCGCTGTATCTGAGGTCTGAAGTCTGCAGCTGTATCTGGCTTTAGTGCGAATGCCCACAAATTACAAAGATAAAATGGATCTGTCCTGGTGCCACACCTGCCCTTCAGCACCAGTCACTCAGGATCATCGCCAGGGACCCTTGTTTCCCGGCGACAGACCACACAAAACAGGGACTGTCCCTCGAAAACAGGGACTACTGGTAACCATACTTAAGCGACCCTGTTGCTAGACATGGGCACCCTTCAAAAGTAGAATAATAATAATTACAAGTCCGGGAAGGCGTGACCCTCACATCTATGTTTTCTTGTAGTACTACAGCAGTTCAAGAGTCTTCGGCATCCAACATACTTTTGGATGTGTCAGATGCCCGTGGTCCCTGCTGTTAGCTGTGGTCCCACTGGTCAGCTACTATGCCACTACAGTACACAGGTGAGACAACGGCACACAGCTGGGATCACAACATATGACATACGTGGAATTGTCAGATATCAGCAAGGGCTGTAGCTCTGCAAGAGAGTGAAGACTGGAGTCGCCACCCTCCAGACTGGTAAGTATTACTAATCTTCTCTCGCACATTAATTTTGTTTGTCTAAAGACAGTGAAGAACTTTAATTCAGTAGAAGAACAAAATAATCTTGGCCTCGAGCATAAGTGTCTTAAGGAAAAATTGGATGCACGAAAGGGAGAATCTGATTTGGTGATCTAATCAACAAGAAAACATTTATTGATGACGGCTACTTTGCCCCTTAACAATCACAATACAGATCCCACTGGGTTACAGGGCTTATTTCAGCTCCCCTTCTTTGCTTGTAATGAACACTCTACTGTTCAAGCTGTATGCTCATTTGTATGGAACAGAGATGATACAGAAAAAAATGGGTTTAGTTAAAGAACTGAGTTTCAATTTAAGATGTGTTCAGCTAAATGATATAGTTTTTTTTCTCAGCCTGTGAATTGATATCATTCTGCGGAAGAATCCAGACTTTCACAGACATGCCTCCCGTGTCAAATGTCTAGAATGAAATCACCAGAGGACCGGAAAGAGAGAATTTGTTCTATAATAAGCTCAGGCGGGCTACAGCACCAGGCGGACTATAGAATTTCACCAGATCCCCATGCTGCTCTGTATAAAAACACCATATACATACAAAGAATAAAATACTTACACTCCTCCAAAATCAACATACAGCCATCTCTGCAGCAGCTCATAGGTAACCAGTGTGACACCAAATTGGGGGGAAGATCGAAATACTCGAGCTGTGGGAACATCAAATGCCATTATTAAATATATTTAGCAAGGATGGCTATAGCTTGGTCTCAAAGAGGTAGGGTGTGCTTGTTCACTCTTACATTTCTAAAAGCAGGCAGTAAAACGTGTGGATTAAAAACAGAGTCTATAACATATTTTCAGTTGGTACATATTGTTAGAATAATATCTCTGTGGAAGAAAATATTTAGGATGCCATTGATGACCAGCCTTCTGAAAATGCCAATCCAATTCTTTCCGAGAGGTACAGACCTGGGACACAGCTCAAGAGCTCTGACTTGACTCTGACTATCTAATCTGCATGTTTGTCAGTGAGGTAGAATGTATTGATGCCAAAGAGAACCAAGCCCTACCCCATATGAGACGGGAGCTATGGTCGGCCACCACTTGTCAACTGGTTCACACCAGTATCATATGTATGCTTATTGTGTCTACATTTTTGTTGAAGGCCTAAAAAATGAACATTCCTTTCTGCTGCTGCCAATTACAATATGATCAAATCATATAGAGATCCAAATGGTATCTTTTGAGTCCAGTTAAATCCTTGTCCTATACAAAGCCCTGATGAAGGGAGAGTGATGTTGCCCCCGAAAACTTGTGGGCTATTTTTTGTTTGTGAACAATTAGGAACGTTTGGGCTCTTTAGCCTCTTGGTATGGCGCTCTCTTTATTTCTGAACATTGAGTCTTTTCCAGCAAGGATGACAGATATTTTCTACACTTTTTACGTGAAATTACATTTTGGTTTATGGGTTTAGTTATACTAAAGTTCAGCTTGAGTCATCTGAGGATTTTCTCCTCAATACTCTGCATGATTGAGAGAATCAGTGGGTATCTGGGTGACGTCCACATTACTCCAATAAATACTGCCTAGAGTACTTCATCTTAAAAGGATAATTTCAAATTGGTTCCTCTGGATTACTGCACTTCTTATTAAATTAGCCCGACAGTGAGTGTTTGCCTATTTCATTCAATCTCCCCATCCAATAAACAACATAATAATGCTACCTCCACAATAATCATAGTACCTCCAGCTCCTTTCCAGAAAGCCCTCGATCCTTCTTCTTTAAGGATTTTTTGAAAGCAGTCGAAAACACCGTTATACGTAGTCTGGCCGGCTCGCGCTGCCACTTGCAGTCTTGTCTTGATGACATCAGCAGGGGTTACTAAGGACGCTGCAGGTACACCTGTATAAAGACAAGTGATATATTTACATAAGGAATCCTAATTATCTTCACAGGAAAAGAAAAAAAACAACATGCATCAGATAATTAAATTGTTCAGAATGAGGTTCCTCTTCTCAGAATTATTCAATAGAATGGCTTTAGGGTGGAATGTGCCATTTCGAGATCTATGGAATATAACAAATGTACATAGCGTTCATTGAATGTTTCTTGAGTATGTGCTGTAAAGAAACACTTAGAAGACAAGGCAAAAAAAAATACTCTACATCCCATAACAATTTACAAAACGTTGCAAATTCCACAAAAGCAGAACAATTTGCATCAACAGTTCTTTAAAACCTACAAATCATTGTAGGTGCTAATTAGGGATGCACCGATACCAAGTACCGTACTTGGCACAAGTACAGATACTTTTCCAGCTCCAGGACTAGACTAGAGAAAAATGCAAAAGTTAGGAGGCAGCTGTCATGTGTAAGGAGCACACGAAGCTCCCGGGATTTGTACATCTCTGTTTTAATGTGTGATTTTGTTTTTATAAATATAAATAAAAGGGATGCACCGATACCATTTTTGCAAGTACTGATACTTGCCCAGGTACTTACAAGTACGCATACATTTTAGTTTATTGTTATGTGACAGTTTTTCTAAAAACGATACAAACTAATGAGTTCAGGACAATGGTGGAGCGCCAGAGCAAGGTCCCAGCTGCAACCCTGGTAGTTCTCATGAAAATGGCAAGTATCTGCACTGGTATCTGAAACGTATCGGTGCATCCCTAGCGCTAATGATCAGAAAAACTGTCCACCACTAAAGTTATCGGTTTTCCCAGTTTTAAATTTCTTCGAATAGGTGTACTCAGACCAGTATAACGCAAGTTATATAAAGAATTAAAATGGTTGGATTAAGACTGGTGTCCAAAAAAAAAAAAAATATATAAAATACATGAATTGTATAATGCACTGCAGTGGACAAAACCCAAAATACTTTGACTATACCTTTCTAAAATATACAACACCCTTTACAAAGTCAACTACACCCCAATGTTCATTTGTATTATCTATTTATCTTAGGACCTTAGAAACCGGAAAGATAAAAAGGTCTCTCGGCTTGGACACAGCAATACTGTTACAATAAATGTTCTCATTACAGGAATTATGTAGCTATTTTGCACAATACTTATTCCAATCAAACCTAAAGCTAAACTTCCGTCCTTTATCCAGTGGGCAAATATTTTCAGAAATTTTGTATGATTCCAGATGTGGGAGGATTGTCCAACCTAATGCAATGCCAATTTGATATAATCCTCTGTTGTTCTGTCCAACTTTTTGTAGCTGGATAAACAAGTAACTGAAAAGCATTTACTGTACCATTTTACCAACCCCAATAGAATTTTATGTTTACTCATTTGCAGTCCATCTACCACATACCAGCTCAGAGAAATCCAGAATGCCCAAATCTGACATGTGGTCACCATACTGGCCCATACTACATCTTACACAACCAATGCAGATATGCACCTACTAATGCAACAGCAACAGATAAGGGCACCGTATCCGTGCTAGATAACTAGGCTCTGTCCCAAACAGATTTATGTTATCGTCAAGAAGTCCGTGCCAGTGGGGCTGCGCAAGCACCTGCGAATGTGCATGCGCCTGGTGTGGTTCATAGAATCGGCCTGGCTGCGTAACTCAGCACAGATGCACGCACGTCTGTGTTCGTGAGTGTGTGCGCTCGCACTGTGAATCGTGGCGCTAGATGGACTATTTAATCTGTGACATCCAAGCCCTCTGTGCGAAGGGATCGTCAGCTGCCTGTGTACCCGAGATCCTGAATTCTAATTTCAGAATCTTATTTCCTGTTGCTGACCCAGCGCGTCCTAATCACTCTTTGGTTTCGCTTCTACCTGCTCTCCTGTACTGCGTTGTTCACACGGCTCTGACCTGGGCTTGTCCTCTGACCACAAATCTGCCTGCTGATTTGGTACCCTGCTGCTCGTACTTTGCTGACCCAGCTTGGTTAACCACGACTTGTCCTGCTCTGCTGCCCTGGTGTGCGTTTCCAGAACTAGCATCCAGAAATGCACCACAGAGTTCTGCATTCTTTGCTAGTAGTGCAGTCTTCTGGCACTAGTACCCTTTTCGTGTCCCAACAAACCTGTTCCTCTACCCAGGAGTCTTGGGACTGGAGTTACATGAGAGACCACCTTCGTCACTTAAAGCTCCATAAGGTATGTGACAGTTATGGAAGAAAAAGACCTCAAATTATTTTAGCTTCAAATCTGAAAAGATGGAAAATGTGCCACGCACAGACCTGACACTAAAAGGATTATGCTAGACCCAAGGATTATGCCATTGTCAGACATCAGCAATTTACAATACAGAATTGAAGTACATTGTAGGTTGCTGTGGCCAATAATTAAAGTGAACTACAATTTAAAACAACAAAACATAATGCAATTTCCCACAAAGGAGCTTAAGGAGGCACTGTTCTTCCTGCAAAAAAAGTTAAAACACACACAATAATGTAGTATGCTGCAATACATTTACCATTAGAAATAGGTTGGCTCCAATCTTTGCTTTCTTGCAGAACTAGGGACATCAACAGAATCTTCAGCACCCCAGGTGTGCAAAATGCCTGCATCTTCCCAGACACACTAGTGATGTAGTAGCCAGAAGGACACAGTGGGCAGACACAGGCAACCGACACACAGCGAAGTGTCAGATGCTGAAGATTCTAACAGGAGTCAACCTATACACTAATTATAAGTGAATACTATATTGTTGTATGTATTTGTGCAACTTTTTGGAACGATAGTGTCTCTTTAAAATATTTCAAACTAAATGATGAAGGAACCCTTCCATAATACGAGTCGGGTTTTCTCATTATTTGTTTTCTATTTTCTGTGTCATGGAGAAGTAAAAGGAAACCTAAATCCTTTAAATCCAAGGGCATTGGAACACAGTTTGGAACACTAAGGATAGAATCTATACCAACACTGATCTTAGGTAGGTGGGATAAAAGTATTGAGTGTGTAGTATATGAGCACAGTTCAATATGCATATATAGACCTGTATACCCTGATTGATTTTTTTGGGATGAAGAGAAGAAGCAACATTAGATTATTTTGGTGCATAAATTGTGGTTTCGCCATCATTGTAATATTATTTCCACTAAACCAAGTCAACCTTGCATGTTCCAGGGAACAATCTTTTTCTAAAAACATACTTCTTGCTCTTTCTATGAACACATACAATGTATAACATTTATATTCCTAGCAGCTAAACAAGCTATAGTTTGATGCTGCCATATATCCACTTTTAATTTAAAAAAAATAAAAGCAACTAAAAAACAATTAACAAGAACCAAACTAAAGCTGGCCATACACTAGTAGATTTCCGAATGAAACCTCTTTCTTTCCCACCCCTGATAATGCCATAAGACGCTTGACAAATGGCGAATGACATTTCATTTTAGTTTAAGATTAATTGTGGAATCAATGGAGTTTCCCCAAATGAAAACCCCATTCACTCTTAGAATTTTGTTTGTGCGAGAAATTTTTTTCCTCCTGCTACTTCGAGTTTTTTCCTCACTATGGTTTAAATCGATAATCAATTTGACCCCATCAACTATTAAACATTTGTACGAAAGATCTTCTGTTTGACTTTCTGTCTGGAAACCTACTAGTGTATGGCCAGCTTAATAAAGTAGCAGGAGGGAACATTTTTCCCAAACAAACAAAATTCTAAGAGTGAATGTGGTTTTCGTTTGGGCAACTCCATTCATTCCAAAATGAAATGCCGTTCGCCATTTGTCAAGCATCTGATGGCATTATCAAGGGTGGGAAAGAAAGATCTTTCATTCGGAAACCTACTAATGTATGGCCATCTTAATATTCTCGGGAAGAAACAAGAACAATTATGAAAATATATGGGGACCTTTGCCCCAAAACAGCTCCCCATTCACATCAGACAGATCTAAAAAAAAAACTGACTTGTTGACCAACTTCTCTCGCTCCTCCATCTTTGTACTAATCCCAGACTTTTCTCTCTTACCTCCTTTTTCTATCATTCAGTCGTACACTTCTATTTCCTTTCATTGCCTTAATTATAGCTACAATACATGTTTATGCTTTCACCAACTTTAAATGACATAGCACTTTCAGAAGACCGCAATTTATCGACCAAAGCAAACCTATTTTGTTGTTTGCTTACACTTACACACTGGCTTACACATACTTAATGCTGAATGAACAAACATGACAAACAGCACCATACAATTGTTCATCTCTAAATTATTTTGCTTTTGTCTTGGAAAACTTTCAATAAAAACAAGGAGAAACAAAACTTTGCAGTAAAAAAGTTGCTGTGCAACATCTGTGTTTGATAAAAAAATGTAGTGGAATCAGACTTGTGCTCGATATTTGTCTTACAAGAGTCATTATTTGAATAACCTTTTATTTATTTTAAAAGCAAAATAGTTTAAAATATTTTTCTTGCAGCTTTATAAATGTGTAAAAATTAAAACAATTCAATTTACAATATCAATTGTTTAAGGTTTTAAAACAGAACTCCGGATCCGAGGACTGGGTGAGTATAACTTTTTTTATTTCCAGCCCTAGACAGTTAACCCTGACAATGTGGGACTAGCCCTGCAAGGGTTAATAATATCCCCCCCACAATTCTACTTTAAAATTTTCTTTATAATCAATACGATTTTCTGACTACTTACTAAATAATAATGATGATGATGAAACAAAACAATATTTATAATTATTATATTTTTATATCTTATTTACTAATGCTAAATTTAAAAATGCTATCTTACTATCCAAAAAAACACTAGGGCTAGTATGTTTTCATATGTTTTTTGACTGTAGGAGGAAACCCCTTACAAAATAATGAAGACCGTGTTCTCAAAGGTAACTGAATTCAGTGCCCCAGAGCTGAAAGAAAGAGGACTAGACACATACTTAGGTTTATAGAATAACATTTCTAAAGCACTTTTCTTGCTTATTGTTTGCTGTACAGAGCTCCCTTAGCAACTGTCTGTTAAAACGAATGTTACAGTTATGAGTATACTTTCAACATCAGTTCACAGTAAAAAAAAAAAACTAAAAAAAAAAACACAACAGGGACTCTTTTGTTTCTGTAATATAGAGTACAAATAAAATGCACATTTTCAGTTTTATTAAGTGAAAAGATTTATTGGCAGCTTTGTTTTTTTTTTTTTAAACAGCGCAAATAAAAAAGGGCCACAGCTTAAATGTCATTTACAAAAAAAAAAGAATAATTAGAATAGAATAGTTCATGGTTCAATCAATACCGAGAAAAGGGTTTATTTTTATAAAGATTAAAACTCCCAGCTGCTGACAAATGTACTAATCTGGCACGCTCTTCAGTGACACAATCCATGTGTCGGTAGATCTAGTTCTGGGACACCAATGACACGCTTGTTACGATAGCTACACATACACACACACCAGGCATTAAGCAAAGTGTGCATAATGAAGACATAAATTGATTAACACGCTTGTGTCACATTTATAGGAGTTGTGAACAGCTTATCTACGCTCAATCCGTAAGGAGAGATTTATGATGATGGATCCAGTTAAGTAACCCATGCGTATCCTACCATTGTTGAAGGATTATAGATCCCACCAGCCCTGCATCCAAATGGAGGGTATGCTGGAATTTATAGTTCCTTAAAGTACAAATCTAGCCAAAAGTTTTTTAGTTTTTTTGGGATAGAATGGGGAAGGATTGGAACCCAAGTTGTTTTTCTTCTGCTATCTGGGGCTTCATTAGAGAGATTTTCACTCGCTTGCTGTCCCAGTGACAAAAGTTTCACTGGACTGGTATGAGAAAACGTTTGCAACCCAAACTTGACTGGAAGATCAGTTCACCTCATATCCAAAAGGTACACTTGTAGTTTATCATGCCTCTCGGACAATTAAAAATCACACTCCAGTCAAACATGAAAATTTGGCATCTACAATATTTCCCAAAATACAAACAAACAATCTACCTGCATAATGGGTTCATCTACACATATACATTTAAAGGGTAATTCCACTTTCCATGGCGAACTTGGGAAAAATTGAATAACCACCACCAATCCGCCCCTTCTCCCTCTTGCCGCTGCTCTCTCATTTAACTGAAGGCTCCTTCCCCTCCGCTGCTGCCGGTGTACTATCAGTACTCACCTCTCCGTGCTAACCAGTGAGAAGAGCTTCTGACCGCACTGACCAATAAGACAATAAAAAGCAAATTTTTCGAAGCAATGCGACAGTGGTGACCAATGAGTGCAGAATTTGTAATACTGAGTGCATAGTACACTGGCAACCGTGGAGAGGAAGGAGCGTTCGTTTAAAAGGTAAGAGCATTGGTGGCAGTAATTCCATTTTCCCAAATTCGCCTGGGAAAGTGGAATTACCCTTTAAAACATGTCAACCCACATACGCAGGTTAGCCATTTTTTTTCAATGGCGTTAGTTCACATCAGTGAGTTATGTTGAGTGCATTGAGGATGGCAGCGCATAATAATGTATGAGTGTTGAAATGGAACATAAGACCACATGAAAATAGGTGTGGAAAGCTGTGAAGTCAGCCTTAAACTTGGCATCCATTTTCTACACCTTGCTATCTTTCTAACTAGAGTGCTATAGTTGCCGATGTTCTAATATTCTTAATGCACTTGACTATAAAACTGAAAACACTGGCCAATGTACCCCAGGGCCTCAGTATTGCCCTCTTTATAAGCCTTTTGCAGCCTCATCCACACACTGGAACATCAGAAGAAGGCTGCACTGAGTCATGTGAAAAGAGACTGCAGGCCCACCTAGAAGCCCAGTAAAAAAAATGTAATAGATTATATAAAATGAAATTGAGCAGATTGTAGCACAGTTACAGTGTTTCCTGGATAGCAGTTTACAGACAGAATGTGCTATTGCTTGAAGTTATTCTTTAACTAGAGCTGGAGAAGCCTCCAGTTTGTACTGCTGAAAGGCATATGAATAGGAGGCTTTGCCGAGGAGAATTACAATGCCACCTCTATGGCCGGTCAGCAGGAAGCAGAGCTGCAGCATCCTGCCAAGAGCGTGGCCCCGAGCATGAGGTGGCTTTTGCCCTGCTGTGCCCAGGAGTCAGGATGTTTCAGGACACGAGCACAATGTGGTTTATATGAGAGTACAGACTGCTGTCTACACCACCTATTTCCCTTCAGCCTCCTCATATATGTCACTTAGATTCCTGGAAAACACTGTGTGACATATGGCAGGAGGATGACAAATAAAATAATCTCATTTTCTACAAGCCATGAAGGAGATTCTTTTATATCAGAGACGAAAGGGGACAGCGATGATACATTTAGAACAGAATGCACATATAGACAAAGCCTTCTGTACTGGGACTATTCTACATTGTTCAAAAATGTACGCGTTGAATACAATTAGAACAAAGTTCAGTTTGCTTCTGCTGCAAGGACTTTTTCACAATTTTAAAGTCATCTTAAATCCACGCGAGTTGAATAAAACATACTGAGGAAAAAAACTCCTACAATCAATATTCGCATGACTACATGCACTACTACATGCATCACTACTGCCATTTTACTGGATGTGTCATCTACACTCTCTAGACATTTAGTGGACCAAACCAACAGCCATAAGTGAAAGGACTAGCAATGTCAATCATGCTAACTTTGTTACTTAAATCTCTGAATTCGTAAAGGAGAACTATGAGATGAGTGATTTCCACTCACCTCATAGTTCTAGCCAACCTGAGACAATGAGACTGTCACAGGTCGGCTCAGTAGATCGGGAGGTGAGCGAACACATACCAGGTACGCTCACCTCTCGATCCTGTCACGGCTCTCTGCCGTGACAGGGGGAGGGCTGGATTCTCCTCTCCCCGCTCCGATCTGCCAGCGCTGACTGGCGGAACGGACGGGGGAGGGGCGGGTACAGCTGGCTCTGCCTCTGGAGAGGCAGAGCCAGCTGTCACTCACGCAGCTGGGCGGATCCCGTCATCTACGTCGGGATCCGCTCCGGCGTGTCAGTATACCGCGAGCTGTAGCTCGCGGTATACTGAGCTTAGGGTAACGGGAGGATGCTAGTTTGTGTCCTCCCGTTACCCTAAGGAGAACTATGGTGAAAAACACTGACCCCATAGTTCTCCTTTAACAGCAATGGCCAAGTACTAGAAATGTTGGCACCCATTGTTTGCAAAAGTCTTGCACCTCCTATTATTTATCAGGCTAAATAATATTACAAATGAAGATCCCCTGTAAGAGAAGAGCTCTTCTGGCAGCACAAGTCTTCTACCTCCTCCTCCTCTCTGTTCCAGAACTGCAGCTTTAGCCAGTCTCTGCTGTGTCCTGTAGTGACATAGAGGTTGGAGGATTAAACCACATCACACGCTGGGTATTACAGATATCCTGCTCTCCCAGAAGTGACAAGGACTGACTGTGGCTAAAGCACTGGATTGGAGGGGAGGTAGAAGACTTGGGTCACTGGGAAGGTGTGTATAATAGCTTTTCTCTTGCATTCCATTGTTTGGATAATTTTTTCTGACACAGTTGCTTTAATAGGACTTTTTCTGTCCATGAAATTGCTGCTTCCAGCTCTCACACTGCAGTGCCCTGTGCAGGCAGAACTGAGTCACAGCCACACCCCTCAAGTGTCCTTACACAGACTTGTATTGCAGACAAGGGAACTGGGGTGTGTCTGATCAATTCTGTCACAATACAGAGTGCAGTGGGGGTAATTCTGGTGTCTACTAAACTGCACAGTAATATGCAGATACCCTACACAGCTGGCATAACAGGAAAGTAGAGGGGAGACTATATCTATCTACTCACCGTAAAATCTATATGACAGAATATATTTTTCTGTGACTTCACCTGGGCTTTAAATCTATGTGCATTCATGTCCTATTTGAGTACTGACAGAACAATCTATAGACTATACCAAAAGTGCTTGTGTAGGCAACCGCACAAGACAGCAAATGAAATTACACCCATCTGTGTTGGCCTTTACAATGATTCCTCCATCAGAGAATCATCATCTACTGGTTCCTCTGTCTAGACAGGTGGTGAAAGTACTATTGGAGTAGCTAACGGGAGATGAAAATGGAAGTATCAATGGCCAGGAAGGCCAGTAAGATGAACAGGAAATGGTATGGAATGGCTCAGAGCGTACCACAATATTAATAATATACAGCATTTATATAGTGCTGGCAGTTGGCGCTGCGCTTTACAAAAGGGAGGGAGTCAGTAAAGTTACAATACAATTTCAATACCTGAGGGTTAGGAGGGCCCTGCTCATGGGAGCTTACAATCTAGTAGATCACATAACCAAACCTTATTAAAAAACCAATATGATGCCAGCTGATTCAAGTGCAGAAATAATCATATGAGGTTATAAAGAAATGTTATCTGTTGAGAGTTAAAGTAGTAAACATTTTTCTCTATTAAAATACTTTGCTCAGATCTCTCCTTTACAGTGCCAGCACTTGACAGAAACCTTACACAGATGGACACCTATAATGCCGCCCTAAGTCACTGAACGACATTAGGCTGTTTACACCAGTTATGCTAATGCAATTAGCGCTCATTAAAACAACGACATCACCCACCGCGAGCATATGTTTACTGCTCCTCACTGGTGACTGATACTGCTTTTGTATAAACGGGCTGATGAGAACAATTTTGATGTTCTATAAAAATAACAACAACAGAGTTATCTGGCGTGAGGATGGGAGAAGGCACAGACATCTAAAAAGTAGGGCCTTACCTGCAATGGCACCAGCGGTCAGCAGTTGTAAGGCTCCTACGTGGCCCTTTTCATCAGCAAACAAAGACTTGAAGTGCGCATAGACAGGAAAGTAGATGGCCGAGAAGGGGATGTCCCGTAGAAAACAAGCTTTGGCACCCTATGGCAATGGTGATAATTCACATATGTTAATGTATATGTAAACCCAATCACTAAAATCTCATATAAGCTTCAACATGGTCATGAAATTTAAAAAGTAATTTTTAATATACTTAAATGCTGCTTACAATAATATAATACATGATGATCTTGTCCTGAAGGTACTTGTTCAGGTGTTTCCCGTTAAAAGATTGACAATGCTCTGTCCTTGTCTCCTCAGGGCCCGGTGCACACCTAGGTGATCTGTGACCGTGCGTCAATCGTACACGATACCGAGCGGATTGCCTTATGGTCCCGGAGTCGCCCTTCACAGACGATCGCACTGTGTGTGCCATTATTTTCGCGCCAGGCAGATCGCGCAGTTTCCCACTAAAACAGCCGCGCATAGTGTATCACAAAAAAGGTACATGGTGTAATTGTGCAGGACCGCATGATGCCGGGACGAGTGATCCCGGATCGCTCAGGTCTTCACCGGGTCTCATTGTGCTCCTGTGTTGTCACCCTGTCTTATTGGCTTCTGATGGAGACTACAAGTGGCCATTTCAACACACACTATGCAGACCTGTTCCACTGGTGTCACCATCAGTTGACCTGTTTAAATTTAGTTTAGCGCTTTAAGCTGAACACGCACATGGATTCTAGGGACATGTTTAACTTGTTTCTCTGAAGTTGCCTTTGATTTAAACTGGGTACATGGCATAAACCTAACTACAGGCAACATTTATGTGAAGAAAATGAATGCAGGCCATAAACAGTCTAAACTGACTTGATCTGAGTGCCCAATGCAATCCCCAGGGGAGGATTGAACATTCTCAGCTACATCTAATGAATGATAAAACGGCTTTTCCACATTGACAGCCAAACCAGGTTTTCAAACTTGCTGGATAATTTTTGGTAGAACCAATCATTTTATCCTGCTTGAAAAGGTAATTGTTCTCAATGAGATATCTACCTGTCTATGACCGGGCTTGGAGAACTGGCATATTTCTCCACAGCCACCAATCCGATTCAAACTTTCAGGGCCAGTTGCCATAGAGCTGAAAATTAAGCTCTTGCTGATTCTTCATTATTCTACACATTACTCTAAAATCACCTTTAACTTTCTCCAAATGAGAAAACATTGAAAAGTGAAGAGGAAATAAAAAGGTAAAAATGGAACAGATTACCTACAATGTAGGGCATTCCTAATTGCAGCATTACAAATAGGCAGACCTTTCAGAAACAATACTTGTCACCTAAAAACACATACAGAAATGTTATCCTTTATTAAAAAAACAATTCTGGTTGATTAGGTCCATACAGATTTCCCCACCGAACACCAAACTGACCCCATCTTTATGGGTGCTGTATTGACGTGTGGATGGTGCCACATTCTACCCAAGCAAGAAGTATGTCACCAGCACACCTGTAATTCTTTATTCAAAAGAAACACCTTTATTGATGTTTATTCAGCAATTTTAAGAAGGAACATTTCAGAACCTTGCAGGGTCCTTTCAGCAGGCAATTAGTGACCAATAGACTAATTTCCATGACGAAGAAACCCTGCAAGGTTCTAAATCTTTGCCTCTTAAAATTGCTCAATAAACTTCAATAAAGGTGTTTCTTTTGGATAAAGTATTACAGGTGTCCTGGTGACATATTTCGTACCTGTTTATTGGTCCCAACGGCTCTACTAACCACTCATATTATTTTTTTTGTAAATAACTGGAGCCAATTATGAACACTTCCACTTCTCAGCATCCCTAAAAAGATCTGATTCCTTGAACCAACAGGAGCCTTCTGTCCTGTGCCAACCATAATGATACAATGGTAGGGATGGATTGTGATTGTGATCTTAAAGCAAGAGTGGGAAAGATGAAAACATAATTCTAACTAACTATCTGAATGAGGCCATTAGCTACACTCCCAGCTTTAGAAACAAATATAACAATTTGAATAGGTTATATTTGGAGATCCTAACGGTTCCTCTGTTAGAAAGAATTATAGGCGAAATATAGTGTAAACAAAAGCTTTTATATATTTTCTGGGAGACGGGCAGAGAAAAACATGAATTACAGATTATACAGGAAACTGCACTTTTGCCTCTCCACAACCCATGTTCCAATACGTGATGCATGTAGTGTGGTTACTTGACAGCATGCAGACACGTATGGCATATGTGGGATGGTCATGCAGGCAGCAGCTGAAATAATAAGGTGGAATCGGCCCGTCGACCCCAGGACACATGAAAGCTATCAGGATTAATAGTGGCCAATTTGGTCCATGCAGGTGTCAGGGGGGCATACATCATCATCATGTATCTCAAGGTTTTTTTTACTCCCTTTAAAAACAAAATTTAGATCTTTTACCCTTCAATCCGCTATACAAACCAGGAGGGATGTTATAGTGGTCATATGCATATATCTGTATGGATTTAAAGAGCTGCTAAATCATTTATGACATGGTTAACATGGATTCAATAAAAGTAGATATGTAATTATTTCTTGACAATATCAGAACAAAATATATTTTTACCTAAAAGGAAGGCTGAAGGGAGAGAAGAAGTGTTTCTAATACACAACTGGCTCCCTGTCCAGAATCCCCATATAAGAAAAATCCCAGGTGTCACTTTGGTGCCTAACCTGGTTGAGGACACAGCAAAGTTATATAATTTCTTCAGGGATGACTCCATGAGCACCAGGACCTCTCTGTTCTATCAAACTAAAAAATAAATATTGATCTTCTGAAGCTGCTAAAGACACCTTCTTCAACTTAGTGCATGTGCACTGCAGCCCTACAGGGTGCAATTGATCCGTATCTCTGTAAGTTGAGGGGGGTACTGTAAGTGAGAACATAGGGAGGACTTAACTAGTTGGGTGATGTTCACTGACAGTTCTATAAGCAGACTAGATGTGGAAAAAAAACACATGAAGCTACACCACAGGAGCTCCAATTATTAGATTCGCATAGTAAAAAGAGTTCAGATGCATGCATTTCAACTTTAGATTTAGATATTTTGCCAGAACTTCACTTTAAAGCTGCAGTGTTCCCCCAATCACACTTAAGTCTAGCAGTAGAGGGATAAGTTGTAATACTTAGATTATTCCTCTGGCAGGGTTCCCCCACGCTGTGTGACCAGCCTCTCAAAAGCATCTTCGGCGTTCCGGTCAGCTGTTGCACTTGAGCCGTCATCTTGTACAATTCAGGACTAGCAGTCCTGCATTGTACGTGAGGACACCAAAATGCCCGAACACAACCCAGTGCTTCGGAGAGAGGTATTACAGATTATTCCTCTACCCCTAGACTCAATGAGTAGTTAACCCTTGTAATGCAGGGATGGGGGGCTTCACTGCAAAGGTATCCTGGCGTTCAGCTTTAAGAACATATATTATCTTCAGAACTCACCTTATAAAGACCAAAGAAACCCAAATCTCTGAGCACAGTGAGGGCGCTGACTCTGGCGCCTGTGGTAATTTCTCCTGCGACCTGCAAGCGAATCTTGACAATCTCCAGCGGGTTTGTGAAAACGACTTGGGAGCCTCCTGCCTGCACACAAATAGACAATATCATCAGAGCTTTTACCGGACTGAAAGGTAAATGCAACAACTGTATAACAGGAAACAAAATGTCTCTAACTACTGTGCATTAGTTATTTCAAGGATAATCGGAAAATAAATTATAATGTATGTGTAGCCAAAGCTTTTTTTTTCTAGTTCTAGTTAAGCTTTTATTGCTGTCTATGCCCCTCCTGGGTAGATTTACCCTCTCTATTTATTCTGGTGACCATTGAACTCACCCAAGACAGAAAGTTGTACGAAATCCAAAATTTTAGAGTTGTCACCACAATAGGTGGTTAGGGGAAATTTTCCAAAGGGGACGCCTGTTCCAGTGACAACTATTTGTTTCCCTGCTGGGAAGAGTCACTTCCTATATTCATCCTAGTGACCATTATCATTTGGACAGGAAGTTTTGGAAAGCCAACATTTTACAGTTGTCACCTGAACAAGAGGTGAGGATATTTTAATGGGGACAGCTGAGGACCTCCAAAGGGGACACTGCTCCGGTGACATCAGTCCAGAGCTCCTGCTGCCACTTTTCTGTGGCCTCACGACCAAAAAGCCATACCTCCAACGTGGAAACAAGGCTAAGCAACTCAAATGTGCATGAAAACATAGGAACTTGGGTGCAGAAAAATGTCAGCAGGTGCTCTGGACTGACGAGTCAAAATTTTAAATATTTGGCTGTAGCAGGAGGCAGTTTGTTTGCTGAAGGGTTGGAGAGCGGTACAATAATGAGTGTCTGCAGCAACAGTGAACCATGTTGGAGGTTCCTTGCAAGTCTGGGGCTGCAATTCTGCCAATGGAGTTGGAGATTTGGTCAGGATCAATGGTGTCCTCAATGCTGAGAAATACAAGCAGATACTTATCCATCATGCCATACAATCAGGGAGGCCTATGATTGACCCCAAATGTATTCTGCAGCAGGATAATGAACCCAAACATACAGCCAATGTCATTAAGAACGATCTTCAGTGTAAAGAATAACATGGAGTCCTGGAAGTGATGGTTTGGCCCCCACAGAGCCCTGATCTCAACATCATGGAGTCTGTCTGGGATTACATGAAGAGACAGAAGGATTTGAGGCAGCCGACATCCACAGAAGATCTGTGCTTAGTTCTCCCAGATGTTTGGAATAACCTACCTGCCGAGTTCCTTCAAAAACTGTGTGCAAGTGTACCTAGAAGAATTGAGGCTGTTTTGAAGGCAAAGGGTGGTCACACCAAATATTGATTTGATTTGGATTTCCATTCTGTTCATTTACTTTCCACTTTGTTAATTGATAAAAAATAAAACTATAAAATACATTTATTTCTGAATTCATTCTTCCTTTGCAACATTTTTCAGACTTGCCTAAAACTTTTGCACAGATATATATATTAGACTATTGTATACGTTTACAGAAATAAAATTGGTATGGAGTGCAATACTAAGCAACTGACGTGTTGTACACAAAATCTGGTAATACACTACATTCGGCCTCTACCCAGCCTAAACTGGCAGATAATATAAAACACGTAGCACATAAGTACATGGCACAATTGATTACAATGTACAGCATTGCATGCTCAATAACAGCACTGGAACATTAACTTACATAAAAGGCACAAGTTACTTATTTGTGTTTATTTCTTTGTAAAATTCTGTGGTCCTTTACAATTATTGGGAAATTACAAGTGACAGCAGCGCACAAACCTTATGGCTCGTGATCCAAAGTATTCTAGGATATTCCTAACTCCCAGAACAGAAAGGATATCTGGACTTAGTACATCAACGACATCGTTGCACATGGGGATTGAAAATTAGTTTTTACAAATCAGCGCAGTTCAAGAGTTCAATTAATCTCAAGGACCTTTGGATGCTGCAGTCATTACTACAGAGAAAGAAGCAAATTAAATTAATGACTTTGTGCTTTTTGAAGTTTATTTGATGTTCACTAGTTCCAGGCCTGGAATGGAGACTTCACAGAAAAGCAAGATTACAGCTAACCCTGATGCACCGCAGTTACAGATAGATAATAAAAAAAAAAAGAGAATGAATGAAAATGCTAAAATAAGTGTCCTCCCAGGTTGGTAGAAGGTAAAAAAGTCGATTTATCAGTCATTAAAGCTGGAGTGGAGTAGACACATTTGTGACCTCTAGAGGTCAATATATTGTCCTCAAGCTACTTCTTATATACAAATGGGCTTTTGTTCTTTGTTTATCTATGTACATTTTAATTCAGCACAACCTATATTAAACTTTCTACACAGTCTCTCTGGACAAAAGTGGTGGATTCAATCACAATGGCACTTTTCCCCATGTTATTAGAAATCCAATATCATCTCCAGAGCTTCGGACAAAAGAACTTTCACTACACTCAGAAAATACTTTTTTTTTTCCAAGCAATTTTCCTATCTGCCATCTACCTAATTCTCCAAAGTCTCCAGTGTACGTGAGATTAAAGGGCTAAAAAATGGCTTGAGCAAACTTCAAGAGGGATGTGTTTGTATGACATCATTGCAATTAAGAGGAGTCGTGGATGACGCAATGGTTGAGTAAGACAGACAATTCTGGCTTCACCCTGGTCAAGGGACCACTGACAACATTTATGTCACTCTTCAAACTGAACTAACTTATACCATCCTACCCATCTTATACATTTCTACCTATAGTGTTTTACATTGAAATATACAGTAAACTCCCTGCTATCCGGTATTCAACTATCCAGAAAAAAAAATCCCCTGTGTATTCACTGTTCTGCTGATCTGCGGCATGTATTACACTGGAAATTAGTGTGTGTCTATTTGTCTTGATTTGCTTTTGATTACTGCATTTCAGTATTATTATGAAGTCCATACAGAGTTTATGTTATGATATGGTATAGTATGGGGTATGGCATTATTTAGACCTAATTTTAATAGTAACTCTCAAGCAAGCAGTCTACCAATCCACGTGGATGCCGGATAACGGGGAGTTTACTGTATTTCTCTCTGTTTCTGTATACATATATCACTATAACACTATCACTATAACACTATCACCACAGTCCCCGTTGTTCACTGTATGAGAATATCTGTATGAAACATTATTTTTTTTCAGTTTTGGATGAAGTAGTGAAGTGATAAAACGTCTATCAAGTTAATTATTTTATGTCTGTGTCCTGCTGGGGTATATTTTCTTTACTTTTTTTTCTTTACATAATAAGATGAACAGAATTCCCATCTTAGAGAAATTTTTTCGGTGACAATAGTCATGGAGGAGGTTAATTTCCCCAGTTAGGGCGCAGATGGCAATAAAAATCTGAGGGGGTCTAAACCTACCCCATTCTACCCAAAACGAAAAAAAAAAAAATGCCTTTCCATACACTTTTAACATAGATGGAAACCGAATAAAATATTATATATATTTGTTTACCACGTTTGGTGCGCATCCCCATTTATTTCAATGGGTCCCTGGATGCACCCAAAACGCAGGAAAGTGGTACATGTTGCAAATTCTGCAACATGCATTCCTAATTTTTTTTCCCATGTGTTCGTGCGCACGCACGCATATATATGCAGGGGGGAAAGAAAACACTTGCTTGGCTGTGTTTGGGGTGCAATTAACTAGTAATGGCACCACAAGCGCACTCTGTGTGTGTGCACTTTTGTGCGTATTTCAGGAGTGTACACGAAGTGCCCATGTTTGAAGACCTCCAACACGCACACACACACACATATATATATTTATTACACACACGACATAGGATGTTTTATTTATCTGTTCTTCAAAAAACAGACATATATTTGTCTTTCTATTCCTGTTAACTTTTCATCACAATGTATTCCAGGACAAATCCAGATCTCATTCAGATCTTCTGACAGATCAATTTTACTCGACTGGGTGCCCTTTATACAATTTTAGAGGTCTCGGGCTCTTCAATTCTACACCTTTTCCCTTTGACTGATGCTGCAGTTTTGTAAGCACTCCGTTTACACGAGGATTTATCATCATTGTATCTACCAAAATACCATGTCATCTAGGGATAATAAAAATTACAGTATATTCTAGGTCAGAAGACTGGGGGGGAGGGGGGGGGAGACATTCTGGGGGTCCAAGATTCTGCTACTGTGTTACAAAAATACATTTTTTGCAGTCTTAAAGCAATAGGTAGAACATGATTCAAAATACAGTTGACTGTGCTCTATAGTGTCAAAGTTCATGGACAATATACTTTATTCTTCTAATAAGATATATAACAACTGAAGTAAAATTTAGCTCTTTCGTGCTGCACCAATCTAAAGGAGAACCTTTTTTATACTCTCTAGGTGATAGTCATCTTGATTTCAGACGAGCATTTTTTTCAGAAAAACCAGTAGGGGCTCACTCACACATAAATACATACAGAAAATGCATGCACACCGACATGCGTTTTTTCTTCCTGTACAGGTCACATTAGGGATTACAATGCTAACATCTTTCTTTTTTCATTTTGATATACACATTGCATTGACACACATTTTTCTGCAATGTGCTGCATATAAAGTGTAGCATGCCTACATTTTCCCTCACTGCACTCCAACGGTCTAATGTGGTGTGAATGGGGAACATAGACAGCAATAGTTTCTAGAGTGTCCTTGCACTAAGCCTCCGTTGATCAATGCAGCCTAATGCACCTGATGTGAATAAGTCCTTAAAGTTACAAGCCACCATTTTATACAGTGTATGAGGGTAACCAGAAGAGCTGGATACCAGCAGGACCATATTTACAATTAGGCACCACCGACCTGTGCCTAAAGGCATCAGCAGCAAAGAGGCCCCCTTTGCTTGTATAGCTATTAGACATATTTTTTTCCCATCATCAGCCATCACATAAGCATATTTACACATTGTCATAATAGCCTAAGCCAAGTTAGGACCAGTTATGCAGAAACATATGCTAAAGGACAGGACTAGAACTGCTCTATCATGTGTCTTTATTCAACCCCAAATACTATGTAACTATGTAACACACACACACACGCGCGC